CAAACTGAGTTATTTATTGCTGGGCTTATCTTACAAAGTTCTTACTGCATTTTTCAAAGAACCTTGGGAATGGAGCGCCAGCCTGGAGCTACCTTTTTAAAGTTATTATTTTGCCTTTTTAAATCTATTTAATGGATACTACAGAACCATGTCCTGCAAATAAGCTCAAGCAAAAATCACAATTTTATTATTACAATATATTGTTATGTTATATTATGTTATATTATATTATACCTTTTTATATTGTATTATATTATATTATATTGTATTATATTGTACTATAACTATATTACTATTATATTATATTATATTATTATTATATTATTATATTGTATTATATTTTATGTTATATAAATGATACTATATTATAGTATATTATATAATATTGTATCATAACATCTATACATTTGTCTCGACAAAGTCATTGTAGCCCTTTTTCAGCTTTGATGAATTTGGATTTCGCAAGAAGGACGATGCTCAAAGTTCAGCAACTACTGACGATGAGGTTGAAGACAGCGGTCACAGGTAGGTAGTGGTACACCTGTTCTCTTTAATGGCCTCTAGCATATTTTTGAAATGTAAAAGAATGAATTTATATGAAAACTAAAGGATATTAGGTCATATCCAATCCGCCAGAAGTCCGTGTATTGGCCACCAAGGCTTGGATAATGATTTAACCATTTTATTGCCTTTTCTATATGGAATGGCATAATTCAATCGAGCTCTAAGGCGCACTTTTAATTAAAGCGTTTTCGCGGCAGATGCTGGGGCGTGTCTGTGAGGTTGTTGAGAGCGGCGCCAGCTCGTTTTCCGCCAGTTCTTGAGGAGAGGAAAGCGACAACAATTTTTAAAAACCGTGCTGGCGCCGTGCCAAATCCAGACTCCCCCAACCCCTCCCACCGCGTGACACCTCCAAGCATCCGCAGCAACAGGACTATAATTACAACGTATGCCAGTCAGTATTATGGATTAGTCGGTCTTCCTCTTATTGAGTAGAAGTTTTGCCACTTCCTTCACTGGTATGTTATCCTGAACTTCCCAGAGTTTTCGTAGGATAGCTTGAAGGACCTCTCAGTCATAGTTATAAATGTTGAGATGTTGCACAAAGTCCTCTGAAGAAGCGGTTTATGAAATATCAGTGATAAAGCACCATCATCGGCCAGGCCTTTTCCGAAATGAGCCATCTTTTGACCTTTAACTTAGAAGTAAAATTTTGAACATGAACTATTTGGAAGGAGTATGTCATCTCAAGAACCAGAGTTGCATAAGTGCTCATTACATAGGTAGTTTGACTTCGTTCCTAGTTGTGAAATCCCTTCTCGATGTCTGCGCACGTTTCCGGAGCAAGAATTATCGACCCATGTTTGGAATTCCTCTGCGTTAACGATTTGTATAATGAACGTTCTGCACATCGCGGTTAAATGAGATTCGGGTACGTCCTCGGAGCAGCCAAGCTGTCAATAGGATTGAGAATAGTATTCAAAGTAGTATCCAAATTTGTTGCAGTGTTTGTGGTAACGATCATCTGATGAGTCGTGCTTGATGCAATGTTGTAAAGTAATCAGGTTTTTCACAGACATGGAGGAATTTTCGGAATATAATATTGTGCAGGAGGAGCGCACGAGGACGTAATTTTTTAGCGATTGGGTGCCACAGTGTAGAGCCACCAGTTGGGAAATAAAATTCGGTTTCTGTGTGTCGCCGCAACGTGGATCTCATGACCTCAAACTGAATAGGGGAATGGCGAAAGCTAAGATGTTTTATCAGAAAATGACCTGCAAGAAAAAGTGAGTTACGAAGGACAGATGGAACAATAGTAAGACGAACAACTGTTACTTATTTGCTTATTTGTTGAATAATCACATATGAAATTCGGAACCTAGAAAGAAGTTACAATAAAGTGGATGAATCCGCCAACTGAAACCTTTAACAACGTTATTTAATACAGCGAAGACAATGAAGCACGTATTTCTGGTGTCCTTAATTTTTTTCTCGCTAAAACTCCTAGCACTGTTAATTTCGAACCTTATTTCCGTTTCTATTTATTTGTACCTTTTACTTTGTACTCCTTCATCTTCTCTTGTACAGCTGATATCGTCGCAGCCTGTCGAGGCGGTTTCGGAAGGAATGAGAGAGCCCCTTTTACTATCACTTGTTTTCATCGTGAACTGGTCACTAACTGATCACTATTGGTGAAACAAAACCTCCGGGGGCGGGCTCATCCCGCCCCTATTGACACCCCGACTGGTTGGGACGTTATCGACCATATGTTGACCTTTTCAGCTTTTTTCAAATACATTATGAGATTTCGATGCTGCCAAAAATTGTCAATTTTTAGGATGCGTTTCCTAGCCGCTATTGAATTCGCTCATCCGAATGTTGAAAGAAGAGCTAGTGTGGTCAAAGCTGAATGTTGACGCCTTGTACACAGAAAAGATTGAGGAACTCATAAAAGCTGGTGGTATGATAAGCTCATTATGATAATCGTTCTAACCTCTTTTAGGTAAACAGTATTGTTCTCTGCAGATGCTGGGCGTGTCAGAGGGGCTGGACTCAGCACGAGCCAACCAAATGTACACCAATCGTGTTAGCCGGCAATTGGCCACAGTTGGTGGGAACCAGGCTGGCCTCACGCCAAACTCAGCTCCCTGACACGTCAGCACCCGCAACGAGCAAAACTCTAGGTAAATGTGAAAAGTTCGGGTGTGATTTCAAAAGCTTTTCTGGTTTTCATTGCATTTTTCTGCAATGAGCCAATTCTAGGTATTCCCCATTCGATGCGACCTTATCTATGGCCACGGTTTGCTGGAGCCACAAAAAAGCGTGCTGTCGCTGGCTACTCGTACGATGAGGTCCTACGACAATCCGCTCAGGATAAGCCGTCCATAGGTACTACTTGATAACAGACAGAACTCACACTAGGCAGCGTGGCCTAGGGGGATTCAGCCACCTGGGTTGCCTTTTTCATATGTCTTTTTATTTAGGTGTCCAAATAGAACGTAGTTTACTGAGAACATTGCCAAACAATATTTGCTTCTGGAAGAAAAATGGTGCAGGGATAGACGCACTAAGGAGGGTTCTAAAAGCGGTCGCATTCATATATCCTGATCTTGGCTTTTGTGAAGGAATGGGTGAGTTAAAACTATTTTTTTTCACGCTATTTGTCAGCGAAGAGATTCAGATCTTTTCTTCAGGAATTATCGTGGCTATACTTTTGTTGTTTTGCTCCGAAGAGACGACATTCTGGATGATGACTGCCTTGATTGAGGACATTTTACCACCGAATTATTACAGTCAAACGCTTTTAGGCGTTCAGGTTAGAACCTTCCCAGATTTAACGAGCGGGGGAAATTGACACAGGCCAAGACCAACATTTCCAAGGAGTTTCATTGGCTGTTTTGTTATGATAACTGCTGTTTAAGGCCGCAATCCCGGTTCCGAATTATCACAGAATGCTGAGTTTGGCAGAAGCCCTTCCCAGGCGGAGTTCGAACCCCACCTCACCGCTTTCCGGGCTTACGTCATAGCGCCACTCGCCCGGAATGCGTGAGTGACGGGTTCGACTCGTCCGCCTTGGACGCGCACTTTGGCCCCTCTCAGCATTCTTGTATACCTTCGTGGATTTTCTGGGCCACTAATACACGCAAATTTGATTTTTTAGAGCAATTGCAAGCTGGAACAGGCATGTGTCCGCTAGGATCCCATAGGGCTGGTATTTGTCGATGGAGAGAGGCCAGGTCGTCTTCTTTGCGAAAAAAATACATTCTCGGTGTCTCCCATCGCGGGTGCCGCCTAATTCCTCCCCTCTACCACGCCCAGACGGCACGTTTTTTTTCGATAGAATTGGACATTTCGGAAAATTTCCGATTAAAGTAGCAATGAGCGAGCTACAAGGCACCTAATGAAGTCTCATGTGCCGGATTTGAATCGTCTTATCGACGAGCTCGATGTTGAAGTGTCTTTGGTGACCGTTAATTGGTTACTCACATTGTTTGCGTCTGTTTTCCCAACAAAAACATTGATACGTGTCTGGGATTTCATATTCTATACGGGAAGCGTCAGTATATTTCGGGTATGATTTTATTCTCTTTACACGAATTTTGTGTGACTTTTTTTTCAGAGTGAGAGGTTAGTGTTAGTGGGCGGCTTTACGCCCTCGCACGTTGCGGGACCGCGGTGGGCAAATGTATCCAATATTTTTCTACTTGTGCGACTCGTAGTTCGTAGTTTTTCGGTGTTAACCAGGTCCAGGATGTAAGAGCCGACCGCGACGTCCACCGTGTTGGAGGGGCCTCAGGCCTTCGTCAGCGCTGCCCTGCTCCGCTTCGCTGGCAAAGTGGATGTGATGCTCCCACACCTAAGGCATCACACGGCCCGAGAACAATATGATACGCAAATGATAGGTGCAGTGTTGTAATAAGGATTTCCGTTTTATTCTCGTTCTGGGTGAAATATTAGAAATTAATTTTCAGGTCATTATTTCAATAATGAAAATGAAAGAAGACGATATAGTTGAGTTAGGAAGGAGTTCTATGTCGTCGGCTGATCTTTTCAACGCCATCAGCCAACTGCCGCAAACAGTACGTTATTTTTAGGATGCTTACAGATAAAGTTCAAGGGTAGATCAATAGCGCTATCTGTGTTACGCAAACGAGCACGCGCACATAGGAAGTGAAAGCGAACAAGTAAGATCAGAGATGAATACAGGGGACCAAAAGTTTCGGCAATTTTCGGTGTTGTGCGTTTTGAAATGGCAATTATGGTCTGTTTTCTCTCCGATAGGTTATTTGTATTCCTCAAGCCATTTCGAACTACCGTACGAGTCATCTATCCAATCACTTTCGATTTCTCCTCGCACTGTCTCGAAAAAATCAAAAAGTTGCAGTTGTTGAAACCCATCTTCTGGTCGGTGCTTGTTGCTTGAAGAATGTGCTCGCCACCCGGCAGGTGAGAAATTTCCGATCACAACTACCGGAATTGTTGTCTGCTCCTCAGAAAGGTCAACAGAAGGCAACGGCTGTGAAATCCGTCGGACGCAGACTCTTTCCAGCCTCAGTCACGGTCTGAGGCGGGATCTGTGCCACCGGAAAGACCTCTCATTTCTTCATCGAGCGCATCGTAAAGATTAATGCTGTCTACTCCCAACAACGCGTTCTCCGCGATGTACTGAAGCCATGGGTGTCGTAGCACTTCGGCCCGGATGGACATGTGCTTCAGCAAGACTGGGAGCCAGCACATCCTGCCAAACCCACGAACTGCCGCTTGTGAAGAGCTGTTTCCCGATTTTGGGGCAAGGACGTTTGGCCTCCCAACTAGCATGGTCCGAACCCCCCTAATGATAGATTCCATCTAGGGGTCGAAAAATCTCAGGAATTCGATGCGCAACGGTTTACCACCTGAAAGTGGCGTTGCTGCGTGTTTAGGACCAAACTACAGCAGAAGAATGCGCGACCATTGTCGGACACTTTGGAAAACGACTACGTAAATGTGTTGAGGCTGAAGGAGGCATTTTTGAACACTTGTTGGAACTTTGTTGTATACGGTCATTGGTACTGATTAGATGAAAGACCCCCAGA